AGTCCTGACATTTAACATTTAGCTAGTTTGCCAGTTATCTAATCAGGACGGTAGGATGAAGCTTACTTTTGATGAAGCTTAGCATTTTGATGGTCTAGGACCCCTGTTTGTTATGATACTTGTTCATTAATAATGCTGATTAGAGAAAAAATGTGGTGAAAGTAAACCACTAGAGGAGTCCAAAGGAGATGTGATAGAGGAGGTAGGAGAAGTTTGAGAATGGTGACAGCCTAAAGAAAGAGGCCTTAGAGGATATCCAGTCCAAGATTTCTCAATGTGTAGTCCTCTAACCACGTACACCAGAATTACTGCGGACCTGGCAAATTTTGTATTCTCTAGAGATATGGCACAGGGATCTACAATTTGAAGAATTCTCAGAGTGATTCCAAGAAACACTAACATTTGAGAGGCATTTAATGATCTAGTCTATTTTGCTCACTTTACATATAATAAAAATGACCTAGTCAGATCAATAAGTGATTTGTTTGAATACACCAGCTAATTACTGGTAGAATCAGAATTAGAACTTAACTTTCTTAATTTGCAGTAGTTTGACTGGGTAGCTGTCAAATAAGGCATTGGGAGGGGTAGAGTAGATAGGGCTCTGAGTTTCTCAGTTCTTCCATACAGAGACATTTTGCTTCTCTTTGTTTTATATTTCTCTTTCTCTTTGTACAGACTTCTGTATTCTATTTAAAGAGGTTTTTTTCCCCCCCTCAAGAAGATGCTTGGAAAATCATTGCTATTTGTTATAGCAATAGATGTCTAATATTACTTTAATTTGGCTAATAAGCATATATTGCACACTGCAGTGTTAGCTGGGGATAAGAGTACAGCCTTAGCCCTCTAGGGCTTACAGACTCTGTATGAGACAGATCACATAGTCTTCTCTATAACATGATAAAATTGGAATAAGGCGCTGTAGGAATCGAAGAGGGGATATTTTAGCTTTGCTTTGAAAGACTTCCTAGCTAACAATACATTTTGGAAAATCAGACAAAACTTGAAGCTATCCTTATAATAAGGTTTTACAATTTCTCTTCAATTTTGATCTTTAGAAGACATGATAAATGATGAGTTATAGATTCATATCTTAAGCTTATAGTACAATAAAAGCCTTTAACTAGATATGTATACATCTTTATTGAGAAGCTTGAGTTTTTAGATAAGAGCATGCAGATGTATCACATAGAAATATGACAAATGAGATGGAAAAGGACTTGAGTATCCTAGGGATGGTAGTAGAAATCACTTAAGAATAAGACATCCCTAAGTTTGGGGCGCCTGGGTGGCTCAGTGGGTTAAGCCTCTGCTTTTGGCTCAGGTCATGATCTCAGGGTCCTGGGATTGAGCCCGCATGGCATCAGGCTCTCTACTCAGCAGGGAGCCTGCTTCCTCCTCTCTCTCTCTGACTGCCCTTCTGCCTACTTGTGATCTCTGTCAAATAAATAAATAAAATCTTAAAAAAAAAAAAAAGACATCTCTAAGTTCAAAACCTAGTTCTGTCACATGAGTGAATTCCTTAAATCCTCTGGCTTTTAGCCTCCTATCCGTAAAATTGGCATAATGATAATACTTAGCTCAGAGAGTTATTGCAAGGATTAGACATAATTTATGTAAAGCATCTGAAATATAATAATCACTCATTATGCAATAAGTATTACTTATTTCTATAGAGTAGGTTAATTCCTCTAGACTATCTATGTTTTTCTTTTCCCCTTTGGAAATTATTCCTTTGTTTGTACTAAATTGCAAAAGCCTAAAATATATTGTGTAGTTGTTGTATTTGATGATAAATTTGGTTGTGCCATCTCACATAAAGAATATAGCAGGTAGGGGCGCCTGGGTGGCTCAGTGGGTTAAAGCCTCTGCCTTCGGCTCAGGTCATAATCCCAGGGTCCTGGGATCGAGCCCTGCATTGGGCTCTCTGCTCAGCAGGGAGCCTGCTTCCCCTTCTCTCTATGCCTGCCTCTCTGCCTACTTGTGATCTCTCTCTCTGACAAATAAATAAATAAAATCTTAAAAAAAAAAAAAAAACCATAGGGACGCCTGGGTGGCTCAGTTGGTTAAGCGGCTGCCTTCGGCTCAGGTCATGATCCCAGCGTCCTGGGATCGAGTCCCACATCGGGCTCCTTGCTCGGCAGGGAGCCTGCTTCTCCCTCTGCCTCTGTCTGCCTGTGCTCGCTCACTCTCTCTCCCTCTGTCTCTGACAAATAAATTAATAAAATCTTTAAAAAAAAAAACATAGCAGGTAATTGTGTGTAGCTTTTGACACAGACACGTTGATCTAGTACAAATATAGAGGTGCCATATCATATCTTGGGGAAAAAGAAATCAAACTAGTTTGACATCATGGAGATTTTTAAGCCTGTTGATTTGACGTCAAAAAAGATGAAGTTCTGCAGTTGACTGGTTCATTTATCCAGCAAATATTTATTGAATCTGGATGTTATATCTAGATGAAGTTAGTTAATAGTAATATTGAAATAAAGACATAGTTGTCTTTATGAAATTTGTAATCTCATAGAGGAAGTCAGATAAGGTAATACAAGTCCAGTGGAGATATAGGTGCTTTCATAGAGGTATATGTGGGACTGTGTTGGGGTACCTAGGGAGATGATTTGAAGGACGTTTTGAAGCCCTCAGAGGCATTCTGAGCATAGGCTTTCTAGGCAGAGGCCACATAAATTGAAGCACAGAGGCTTAATGTATTCTTGGGTAGTTAACCAACTGAAAGTAGTTATGTTTGGCTGGAGTACAGATTGGACTCTGAGAACTAAGTCTTGAGTAGTAATCAGAGGACAAATTGTGGAGAGCCTCCTATGTCACACTGACTTTTTACTTCCATGGTCAAATTGCTTTTTAATTAGTTCATTCTTGTGGGAATGACTTGGGAAAAAAGTGAGCTGGGAAGTAGAAGGATTGGGTGGAAGTTTTACTAAAGTCCTGAAGAACAGAGTTGAGAAAATGAGTATCTGAGCCAGTATATCTCAAAATGTGGTACTCAGAAACACCTAAGTGATTTATAAATAATTTATAAATAATGCATATTCCTGGGTCATTGGTTTAGCGATCTGATTCAGTACTACTGGGGTTTGAGAAACAGTCTAAACTAAAAATGTGTACTGGCATATTTGCCAGGACTTAGTGACTGATTAGGTACTGGTACAGGTTGCTGAGAGAAGAGGACAGTTAGGATGACTCCCAGGTATCCAGTATTGTAAAGTTTCAGAGATGATGTGTTATAGGTGCTGTCTGTTCTTGGAAATGTATGAAGCCTGGTTAAAGGTAGGTAAAACTAGGTAGTGGGTGTGCTGATTACCCACTTGGGAAGTTACTACAATTGGTATGGCCTTGATTACTGTGGCCCAGTTTTCAAAGCATTTAATAAATGAGCAGATAGTGTCTGAGGTCAGTAAAGAAAACAACAGGGAGGAGTAGAGGGTAGAACAGGCAGTGCTTTGCACATTTTAATGTACTGGTGAATTGCCTGTAGATCTTGTTAAAGTAGAGATTTTGATTTATTAGATCTGGAATGGAGCCCAAGATTTTACTTTTTTTTAAAGATTTTATTTATTTGTTAGAGAGAGAGAGCGCGCACAAGCAGGGGGGACAGCAGGCAGAAGAAGAAGCAGGCTCCTCACTGGTCACAGAGCCCAACGTGGGAACTCAATCCCAGAACGCTGGGATCATGACCTGAGCTGAAGTCAGACGCTTAATCCACTGAGCCACCCAGGCATCTCAAGATTCTACATTTCTAATGAACTTTTACATGAGGATGAAATTATTGGTCTATGGACCACAGTTTGAACAGTGAAGATAGAGGTCTCTGGCATTCAAACTTATCTACATATCATACTTTCCTGGATATTTGAATCCCTTGTCCTGAGATTCTAATCTAATTGGTATGAAATGTAGCCTGTATGTAGGTACAACAGAATTTGAGAATCACTGATAAAGGTCAGGGTTGACGTATGTCATAGTGTGAAAGTGGCAGTGAGAATAGGTAAAACTGGCTCCATTCGGGATCTCCTGGTATCAGATGTAGAAGGAAAATCCCCAGAATCCTGTACTAGAAAGAACCTGGATTTAGCTACAGCAAAGAGTAGTAGAATACAAAGGAAGGGTGGGTAGGAAAATGTGAGGGGCTTCTTCATGGGTGGTGGATGAGGATGAGAAGCACAACTGGATCAACTCCTCCAGGTTACACAGCTAGAGTTAGAGGCCATCTTTGCTGGGCTTCCCATTGGAATATTATTGAGCAGGTCTTTTTCTGTCTCCAAAGAGGTATCCTTAGCCTGTCCAGGAAGGAATGAGCCAGCTATTCCTTTTTAAAATTATTTTTTATGGCTTCTGGATTTATTTCCTGAGGATTGACAGGATGAAACTAGATTGGCTGGGTGTCAAGAGTTTTTTTTTGTTTTGTTCTGTTCTTTTTTTTTTAACTGATTCTTGTCTTTCTTTCTTTCTTTCTTTCTTTCTTTCTTTCTTTCTTTCTTTCTTTCTTCTTTCTTTCTTTCTTTCTTTCTTAAGATTTTATTTATTTATTTGACAGAGATCACAAGTGGGCAGAGAGGCAGGCAGATAGAGGGAGAGGTGGAAGCAGGCTCCCTGCTGAGCAGAGAGCCCGATGCCGCAGGGCCGATCCCAGGACTCTGGGATCACGACCTGAGCTGAAAGCAGAGGCTTTAACTCACTGAGCCACCCAGGTGCCCCCCCGCTTTTTAAAAAAGATTTTGTTTATTTATTTGACAGAGATCACAAGTAGGCGGAGAGGGGCGGTGGGGAAGCAGGCTCCCTGCTGAACAGAGAGCCCTATTCGGGGCTGATCTCAGGGTCCTGGAATCATGACCTGAGCTGAAGGCAGAAGCTTTAACCCACTGAGCCACCCAGGCGGCCCGTGTCAAGAGTTTTTGCCCCCAAGGATTGGTTATTAATAATTATTGGTCACCTTCTTATGATGTATATGAAATAATCTATTGTTTTATATTTTTCTCCAGATATTATAATAAAAACAAATGGCAGAATGTAGCAGCCATGGCTGAATTGTCACCACTTTGAAGATATACGTGAATGTGAAGTCAAAGTCCGTGAAGCAGAATGTCTGCCTGAAATTATATATAATTCAAAAATCAAAATTCTCTAATTATATGTGATATATCCTAGTGATGAAATTCTACTGAGATTCTTATAATTTACTTTTAATCAGTAAAGAAACACTCTTATGTATGTCTCTTAAATATATGTATTTGTATTGTAAAATAAGAACAAATAGCTTATATTAAAAGACTGTACACTAAACAAATGATTTCAGCTATTTATAAAGAGCAAAGTACCAGGCTACTGTGTAACTCCCTTTGTTTTTTTCCCCCAGAGTTTGTCCTATATATGGATTAAAAGTAGTAAAGTTGAAGCACTAAAAATGAAAATGCTTATATTACGAGCTATTTTTAACAGAACTTAATTGAAACCACATGAATGAGAGACCTAATTCCAGGTCTGACTGAAAGAAACTCTATACTCAACTTTGCTGAAGCAGGGAATGTATAATATGTACAATCAATCATACACTAAGTTTTTGATGTATTACCTCATTCTCAAACCTTCTTTAGCTAATACTGTCTGTAAGATTTTATGTGTTTATTCATGTGAGATATTATTTGTTGTGGTGTCTCTACACTGCTCTTCCTAAAAAACAACAGTCCTGTTGTCAGTGAACATAGTACAATTATATAACTGTTGGTGAAATTTTAACTCTTGATGGTTTACTAATGTTATTATACATAAAAGTAAGAGTCAGATTTTCAAAGCTGCTTCAGTAAGAAAGAAAATTCTAAAATCAATGAATTAATTTGAGATTTTGTAAACTATATAGCATTCATTTTTGCGTGTCATTCTTGCGCAGGGGCCATGCTAATCTTCTCTGTATCGTTAAAAATATGGAACGCTTCACGAATTTGCGTGTCTATAGCATTCATTTTTAAAGAGGAGTTCCATGAAGATATTCTTTTTTTTTTTTTTCTAAGATTTTAAAAATTTATTTGACAGACAGAGATCACAAGTATGCAGAGAGGCAGGCGGGGGTGGGGCGGGGGGGTGGAGAAGGCTCCTCACTGAGCAGAGGGGGGAGCCGGTGGTGGTGGTGGTGGTGGTGGTGGTGGTGGTGGTGGTGGTGCTGCTGCTGCTGCTGCTGCTGCTGCTGCTGCTGCTGCTGGTGGTGATGATGCTGCTGCTGCTGCTGCTGCTGCTGCTGATGCCGAGCTTGATCCCAGAACCCTGGGATCATGACTTGAGCTGAAGGCAGAGGCTTTAACCCACTGAGCCACCCAGGCACCCCTGAAGATATTCTTATGAATTATTTGACAAGGCCTTAAGCCACTAACAAAGCTATTTGTGATTTCTATTTCACACTGTCATCTGGAGGTGAAATACAGGAAAGTTGTTAGGAAATGTAGAAGAGACCATTAAAGATGGAGGCTAAAACCCAATTTAGATCTGGATTTTAAATCAGTACTCAACCAATAAAGCACTTGGGTTGGTTATAAAAGCAGAAATGTGACAAGCAATGTGGGGAAGAAGAAATGAAATAGAAGGCCTATTCCCTACTTTCAAGGAGTTTATCATCCAAGTGGAAAGCAAGAGGACAAATTACTTGGTAGTTTCTAATCAGGTGGTGGGTTCCTGTGAGAAAGAATGACACCTGATTCCTAGGTTGGGCCTAGTGGGGCTGGAGGAAATAAACACTTATTTCATATTGCTCATAAGGAAAATAGAGCTAGCTCAGAAAGAGTTATATACTTAGATGAGGCTGACATGATTTGGAAAGTGACAGAGCCTGGATTTGTAGGCAAAGGTATTTTAAGCCCAGTGTTTTTGTTTTATCAGCTAGAGGATAGGGAAAAATGGGAGGGGAAAAGGATTTACAACTGGCATTCAAGAGCCTTAGTGGGGAGGGTATGACTTCTATTATGATTAAAAGGAAGGAAAGTAGAATAAACTTGATGGTTATCTAGAAGGCAGGAGAAGTCCAAAGAGGATTACTGTTAGCAAATCCCACAAGAAGGTTGTACACTTAACTTTTTATCTGTCGGTAGGCCTTAGAATTCTTTCAGTGAATCTCCCTAGAAGAGCATCAGAAACAGTTCTTACCTTCTGGAGAGAGGGTGTCCATAGTTTTTAATCACATTTTCAAAGTTGTCTGTGATCTAAAACTAGTTAACAATAGGACTTGATCTCTTTACTTCAATATATAACTGATTAATAATAATTTTTAAGCATTTAAAATTTTCAAATTTTACTTCATGAAAAAAAAAAATCTCAGGTCATAAGTACCCAAATCCAGTTGAAAATGCATGAAGGAGCAGATGTAATGTCATTTACAATAAAAAAAATTGTTTTTTAAATTTTATTTATTTATTTATTTGTCAGAGAGAGAGAGAGCACAAGCAGGCAGAGTGGCAGGCAGCGGCAGAGAGAGAAGCAGGATCCCCGCTGAGCAAGGACCCCCCCCCCCCAATGTGGGAGTTGATCCCAGGACCCTGGGATCATGACCTGACCTGAAGGCAGCGTGGCTTGATTGACTGAGCCACCCAGGTGTCCCATATTTAAAAAATTTTAACTGGAGTGTTTTTTCACCTCTCCAAGGTATAATTTATCATGGTTTGTTCAGTTGTGAATAGCCTCTTCATCTTATATTGTGTTTATATGAAAGGCATAATACCCAGACTTTCCAGATAAATGTTATCTATAACCTTTTCTAATGTAATGTTGCTTTCTAAACTGTATTTTAAAATGTTGACCCATCTTACTTCTTAAATCCTTCCTTGACTCCATATGTTCTTCTATATACCCATGCTTCACCCTTTTACACCCAGATTTCCTAAAAAGAATGCTGTCTACTTTTGCACCAGTCCCTCACTCCTAAGCCCTTCCTCCTCTTCCCCCTGAGCCCAACACACACAGAGTCTGGGTTCAGCTCTGGTTCTCCATTGACACTGCACCCCTCAAGGTTACTAGCAATCTCCCTGATGCTAATCTTAAGAGGTATTTTTCAGTTCGCATCTTACCCAACCTCTCTCTCCCAGCTAATGATATTGTAGACTAGTGCTCTATTCTTGAAAGCCTCCAGTAAGGAATGATCTCTTAGAAATGTTACTCTCCAGGCTTTCATCCAATCTCCAGCTCTTTCTCTTCCATTTCTTCTGAAGGCTCATTTTCCTCTGTCCAGCCTTTAATTTTGGTGCTTTCTGGGGTTCTCTTCTAGGGCTTCTTCTCATGTTACCTCGTCTCCTTGGGTAATCTCATCTAACTCTGATTTCAAGTACCATCTCTGTGCAGTTGACCCCAAATCTTTATAACTGCCATGGATACATGTAAGTGGACATATGTAGTGATTATCTCTGCATCTGTCTCCCAAAGGATTAGTTGTCTTTCCTTGTATTCCCACAACATTCTGTACTTGCCCACATCATAGTATTTTCATAGTATTTATCATAATGTTAATCATAATAATTACAATAATAATTATAGTTAATTTCCAGTTGAATTCTGTTTTTTTTTCCTAGACTGTAAGGTTCTTGAGTGAAAGAACTACACTTGTTCATTATTGTGTTTCATTTCCCCTCTATCGCCATCCTGACTGGGTTTTGAATTTCCAAGCCATATGGTTTAGGTGGGATTGATCCCATCCTTAGTTCCAGGGGTGGGCCATTAATGGTTTACATAAATTAACATGGCTCTACCAACTCTGGCACAATGATTGGATCACTAGGCGGGGGACCAAGGCCCAACGATTCTACTGGTATTAAAGCTCAAGAGTTTTGTTTTGTTTTTTTTTCCTGGGAATGCTGGGATATAGATATTTTCTTTATTCTCTTGGATTTTTACCTGAATGGATTTTACCTGAATGGAAAGCTGCTGGCAGCCACCTGTGTCCACAAATGGAGGCCTGGGAATGGAGTTCACACAGAGAGATTAGAGCTTTGATAGAGAAACTGGATTCTTGATATCATTGTTGCTGTCCCTGGATGCATCTGTGCCTGAACTTTCCATCTACATTAGGTCTGGTTCTGATAATCAGTTTCTTTTTAAAACTATGCTAGTTTAGTTTGGTTTTTCTATCATGTGTAACATAGAGCATCCTGACTGGTAAACTCAACTAAGACCTGCCCAGACTTCTAGATCTCTATATCCAAATGTTTGTTTGTCATTACACTATGGGTTCTTATGGTATCCTATATTCAGCATATCCCAACTTGAAGTTATTTTCTCCCTTAAAGCAGTTCTTCTATTTTCTGTTTCAGTGTTAGATATCTTAATTCATCCATGTAAGTTGAGCCAGAAATTTGGATATCATCCATAACTCCTCCCTTTCTCTTATTTTCTCACAGGCAGTCATTCATGAACTTGGTCCTGAATCCTAAATAGCCCTCAATATTTTCTATTCCCCTCCATTCCTATGGCCTTTCTCTGAGTTCATGCCAGCATTATCTTGGTTTTGTGTACCAGTCTTACCACTAGATTCTCAACCTTTATTCTGGTACCCTATAGTTAATTTTCCACAATGCATCCAGAAGGCGCTTTCTAAAATGTTCATCTGATCATGTTTTCTGCTAAAAAATCCCTCAGTAGCTTTCCAAAGTGTTCTGAATAAAGTATGATCTTTTAAATTTATTTTACATATTTTTCTTAATCTAGTTCAGTGTTACCACTAGATTACATTATAGGTCACTGAATTTTTATATTTTATCATGCCTCCAGCCTTGCATGTGCTCCTCCATCTGCCCGAAACACAACTCTCCTGCCCACAGCCTCCTTTCTTTAGCTTCTCCTATTTTTATTTTTAATCCCTATTCATTCCTTTCTTCAGAAAATTCTCCTTAATTCCTCCAGAAGGCTAATTGTCTTTCTTTGTATCCCCATGGCAGCTGTACTTGGCCACTTCATAGCATATGTCACAGTGAACTAAAATTGCCTGTCAAATTCTTTTTTTTCCTACTACACTGTAAGTTCTTCAAGTATAATAACTATATCTTGTTTATTAGTCTATTACCAGGTTCTAGCACAGTTGCTAGACACATTAAATATATTAAGTACCTGAAAAATATTTGTTGAAAAAATGTTTGTCATAGAAATGTGTCATTATATAAAGGAACTTCTTTTGTATACGTCTAATAGAATTCTGAAAATTTCAAACCAATTTATTTTATACTGAAGGTAAAAGTTTGATTCCTTAAAAGCATTTATCACAGTATGCAATAACTCTTTGTTTACTTGTTGGTTTCTTAAGAGCAAGGACTCTACCTGTCTTACTTGTTATTGTACTCTG